CACCTTCCTGTTATTGCCTCCTCCACCGTTCAGTGATTCCTACCCCGCGTGCTGGATTCATGCAAGCCCTTAAGGTGGCAGGAAATTACAGTACTGCGTGGGAGAAGCAGAAGCTCCAGTGGGTGTTATCCAGGGGGTACTGGCTCCTTAACCCTAGTTATCTTCCTGACTCACCCAACCACTCTGCTCTGTACAGATATACAATTTCACAAGTGAAAGGTCTGAGCTTAGTGAAATTTTGCAGATAAAAATTTGTGGATGAAAAGGTTCTTTCCCTAACATCTGCTCTAGGTTGGTCATTGGTCTTGTTGCAGCCACTCACCTCAAAATGCTTTGTAAAAAATGATACCACACAGGAGCCCTCCAACACAAGCACAGCTCTCTGATACATATCTCTAAACCACAAAAAAAAGTACATGACAAAAATCTGCTATTAGCCATTGCCTGGCTTGAAGCCTTGAAGAGGGATCCACAGTTAAGAGGTGATGTTAGACACCTAATTTGAAGAACTGAGCCAGTTCTCACAGGATGTGCTGGTCATCTCCTGACAAGTCCCTGCAGAGCTCCCACAAGCTCTCACCAAAAGGAGAATTTCTATTCCATCTTCTTCTACCTTCCTGTCAGTGACACTGATGATTGTGCCCTTTTCCCTTGAAGTTTAATCTCAACATAGGCTTCCATAAATATCTTTCTTGATCATTCATTCCTTGTCAGGTGGGTGAACTGAGAGAATCTTCCTTCTTTATGTGGGAGCAGAGAAAGATTTTCCACTGCAGCTTCTCATCTGCCACGAAGCGAAGGCGGCACCTCCAGCTTTTTCTCAGTGGTTCAGTACAAGGGCTCCCACCTGTTCCCTCACAGGCAGGCCCTAATGGCCCAGGCAGAACCAAATTCCCTGCCTAATCCTGTGTGTCCTTCTCTTGGCACCGCTTGCCCCATAGCATACAGTGTAGTGTCATCTTTGGCACCTACGGCTATTCTGTGTACAAATCTTGACAGGTTAGGGCTTTTTGCAGGAACCAGGATCTAGCCTTTTTTGTCTACACAGCCAAAATTCACCAAGACCACCTTCACCCCTCCCTGGTAACAAGACCCCCTTTGCTGACTTCCTAGCATCAACAAAAGTTTTTGATTTCTGGTATACTGACAGACTTTATAAAAGTCAGACCAACTCTCAGGGTGACAGACAGCCCTTCGCACCCATTCCCTACTGGGAACTGGAAAACTAGTACCTTTGGCCAACACATTACAGCTACTCCCAGGAAGCAGGACTAGGAGGCCAAGAGCAATGTATTGTACAGCTAAAACCTCTCCAGCTTCTAGCAATTTCTCTGATGTAGTGACAAGGCTGCTGCAATACCAGATGAACTTGGCTCCAGCCTGCCTCCAAAAGAGAGAACTGTAAAGAAACTTTTGTTTCTGCTTAGGTCCTGCATGGAGCAGATCCAACCTGAACCGCCAAAAGAGGTCAAAATGCCTGTGAATGTCCATTGCAGCAACTCCCAAGGAGTAAGGGGTCCACCTAGTGCAGTCAGAGCAGTACTGCCAGAGCCGCAGGCAACACAAGCCACACACGTGCGAGCTTTACAGCAACACTGCAAGTGACACTGGTGGGGACCAAAGCCTCATCTTCTGCACAATGCTTGTAAGGGAGAGGCAGGTTCTCTGAAAGTGGTCGCACTCCCCATGGACAGCACTTGCTCCGTTTACTGCATCAGTGTAGAGTAAGTGAAGGCAGGTGGCACCTGGCTAGGTTGAAGAAACACAGCACATTTACATTTAGGAAGAACAGTAACCCAAAATGAAGCCTGCTGGCTTACAGAGGCTGAAGACTGGCTTTAGTCTAGGGGGAAAAAAGCCTCGGTAGCTGCTGGTTTGCTACCTCCCCAGCACTATTGCTGCATTTCTCATAACAGGTCCCAGAAGAGACTTGACCAAGGCCTGTGTGAAATGGATCAAGAACGGATCTTCCTGGTTCAGAAAGCAATTCCTCTGGCCAACTTTATCTCAGCTGAAAGAAATTGAGTTTATCTAATATGTGCTACCTACACAAGCTTTAAGGTCTTATACTTTTCAAATACAGTTTTGGTTAACATCACATTCAAGATCTGGGAGCACAAGGGCAGTGTCAAACACCCTGCAGGGGTTTAGACCAGTTTTTTAACCACATCCTTCTACTCCCTTTCACAAAACGTGACAGTGCTACATTCAGCTCTCTCCAATAGCAAGGTAACCAGGCAGACGTTGACTGCAGGAAATCAAAAGGGCTAAACTGAAAGAGCTGCTGGTCCACATCCTGTCCATGTGACAAAGAGCAGATCACATATGACCTCCTGTAACATCTAGGGATGAAACTGAAACTAGCTGGCTAGCAGGTCTGAGCAGTAGAAATAAATAGGCAAAACAGTGCTCTACACAAGCACTGCTGATTGGTTTAAAAAGGCATTTGGAAAGCTTAACAACAAAAATGCCTGTGGCATGGAGACTTAGAAACCTCATGGTTTGCCATAAGCAGTTCCCTTGAGACCAAAGTCATGTAGTGCTCCCACACTCACGTGAAAGACTCGAGTCTTAGGTAATTTGGTTATGATCATATAAAATACAAGAGGGAACAAAAATAGCTTCCCCACCTCTCCTTTCATCCAGAAGCAGGTGAATCACTTTGATTTAAAAGACATCTAGTGGCAGATAAAAAACTATAGAAAATGACTAATCAAAAGGATGTTATTCTGGAAACTTCTAGACTGCCCGTTACCTGAGAGGTTTAGAAAAGAAAGGAGCTATTCCAGTCTTTCATCAAACCAGGCATGTTAAACTGTGACTGAAGGGTAAAACACGCTATGGAAAAACTTCCCAGACAACTTTAGGTCAAGAGGACTTGAGGACCCCTAAGCAGTACTCCAGATCCAACTCTATGTCACCTTAACTTCCCTTCCTGCTGGCAAGAGAAGGCAGCAAACCACACTATGAAACCTGAGAGTCTGTATGACCTAAATTCCAAGTTGGGTTTAGGAACAGCCTGAAATAGCACTGAGACATATAGAGCTATGTGTTTTATTTTTGTATATATAAAAGTATTTGGGGTTTTTTTGGTTGTTGGCGGGGTTTTTTGGTGTTTTTTCTCTTTTTTTTTTTAATTAAAAAAAAGTTGTTGATTCTTTCTACCTCAATTTTTCAGTTTCACTTACTCTGAATAAGTAAAACCTTCATCCCAGGAACTCACACCAAAACCACTGTAGGTTCTTGGGACCAAGAGAAGTCTGCTCAACAAGAAAAGAGCAAAGTATTTGGAAAAGCCCACTGTGAGTGGAGAGCCAGTAATTCTGGGAGGTATACGTGAGAAAGACTCCAAGTCCCATTCAGGTGGACAAGAGATAAGCAACAGCAGCCTGAAAAGAACTCAGGTTCTACCCACCTGTAAATGCACAAGCAACACCAGTCAGTCTCAGAGACTTTTTTTACTAAGGATTTTCAATAAACACATCTGCACATACACACATATATATGTAGATATACATATATATATATAGCCCTCTCTTGCAGAGAGAAACAGTTAAGTGGTTCCACATTCAGGACAGGGCAGGCAAGTCAGCACCACCTGGCCAATGGTTCACAAGGTGCTGAAGATGCTCCTGTGTGTGTGCTCATGGTTACTCCACGTTTCTGAAGGGAAGGCCAACAAGTCTTGGAGACAGGCTCAGTGCAAACACACACACAGCTGCAGAAATGTGTAACAGCATTGTCACAGAGTAAGGGAGATGAGAAGGAGCAGCTGGGAAAAGAAAAAACCCACTGAAGACTGCCAGGAAGTGTCTGAAAACAGTGTCCGTCCATGGGAAGTCCAGTCAGAATTTGACAGAGAAAGAAGTCCCACACGAGCAACCCTTCTCTGCCTGGGGGTTGCTCACCACCTGGAAGGAGCTTCGGATCAGCTCCTGGCTGAAGTCCACCATGGAACCTTTCACGAAGGCCAGGCTGTCCACATCCACAACCACACGGGCACCACCTTGTTCAAACACCCTACAAAAAAGCAGCATATTTAATCATTAACTGTGCCAAAGACCTTCCAGAGAAGCACAGCCTGAACTCTCTCCTTATCTCATAGGCTTCTGCCCTTCAATGCAAGATACTATAATGTCACACATACCTCCACTGCCATTTTTGCAAAGAACAGTAATACCTGACCATCACTACACCCCTTTGTCCTTGCCTGTCATCAGGATTGATAACTGTGTCCAAGGAAAACTTGTACTGGAAGCCAGAGCAGCCACCTCCTTCCACCTGCAGCCTGAGAAACTCCGGGCCTTCTGCAATCTCCAGCAGCCTCTGCAAATAAGTAAAAGGACTAAAAGGCCTGCTGAACAAACTGATGAACACTCAAATGCCTCCTCCCCTGTGCGCCCACGGCAGGCCGAGCACTTCGGAAATCCCTCCCAGGGGCACCCGAGCCCTCCTGGGGTCCCCACCTTCACGCAGCTCTCGCTGAGGAAGACCTGTCCTTCGCTGGGCTCGCTCTCCGTCGGGCCCGGCTGGGAGAAGGACGACTCCCACCGCAACGGGCGGACAGCCCGGGCAGGCACAGGCGAGGGCCTCGGCAGCGCTCGTCCTCGGCACAGCGGAGCGGGGCCCCAGCTGCCTCGGGGAGAAGGGAGGAGAGGGGGAGCCTCAGCGGGGTCCCCGCCACGCCACCCGGCCCCCGCCGATGCCGCCCCCTGTCGCGCAGCGGGGACATTCGGCGTCCCCGGGGGAGGACCCAAGGGCTCGGGTGTCCAGGAGAGCTGTACCTCGTCCGGCCGCCCAACGCCAGCACCCACCACCACCGCCGCAGCGCCCCCGGCGCCGCCATCGCGGACCAGCCCCGCCCCACCGCCATGACGCCGCAGAGGCGGAAGTGCCGCCGCGGCGGGCGGGGAGCGGCCGCGCCCACACCGGGCGGGCACCGGGAGGACACCGGGAGGACACCGGCCGCTGTGGGAGCTGCGTGGTGGCGCTGCTGCGGCGGCACGGCTCGGCCGCCGGGCCCGCAAACCCGCTACGGCTTCGCTCAAAGGCACGAAGCCGCCTTTCGTCCTTGGAGGTGCTCGCAGCAATGCTCGCGGAGGGGAGCAAACAGCAATAAAACAGCGGGGAGCAATAAACAGCGCAGTGCTGCCCATCAGCGCGTGCTTGTGCCGGGATTAGCTGTGAGGTCGTTCATCCTGAGCAGACCCCAGAGAGTGATCAAGGTGCCGCCGCAGGGGAGTTAGGCAAGCAGAAGAGCAAACACGGGGCCAGGGCTCAGGGCTTGTAGGGTTTTTCCTTGATCCAGACTGGTTTGCTCTCCTTTATCAGGTAGGGGCTCAGCTTACAAATCCCTGTGGAGGCCATTCTTCCTTCGGGCGGGCGCTTTGCCCCGGTGCTGCGGACGTGCGCTCAGCCTCAGACCCACACCGTCCCTTTCCTCCCACTCCAGGAAGGGGGGGGAAGGAGACCCCCACCCCGAGCCTGCCCCTACGGCCACCCGGGGCAGGTTTCCCGCCCACGGTGGTTTAACCTCCTCCTGATGTCTGCCATGTGACAGCGGCCTGGCCGGTCGATCACAGGTGCACCTGCGGTTAAAAGAGTCTTTATTGCTTCCTCATGTGTTTCTGGGGGAGGAATCCTGTTCCTCAGCCCCCAGCCAGCCCTGTGGAGAGTCACACAGTGACTCTGTCGAAGACTCGTGGAGGAAAACCAGTCATCCCACCAAGAGGAGGTGATTTGCCATCAGGGGACCTCGGGACCCCGTGACAGTTTGCTTTCTCACCGTCCTGCTCCAAGAAAGGCAATGCTTTCATAACCACGTGCCTTTGCTTATTTGTTCCACCCTGAGCATGTAAATTAAAGACTGGTTTGAGCTGTTTATTTTTGCTTGCTCTTGTGTTAGCTCTAATGATATTAGGATAAAGCCAGGAAAGTATCACAGGCAGACTCCCAGCAGAGCAGGTGCCTGCAATGGTCGATGAATCCTTATCAGGTATATTGGACCATTGAGTGTTTTAAAAAAAAACATATTGGGGTGTTTCTTGGTTATTCTCAATATGGTGTCCCAAAAGAAGACAGCTTTGGAGGAGAGAATCAAAACCTCCTGGGAAAAAAAGGCAAGGGATCATGCCTGCTTTCCATAATGCACTGGTTTCCCTTCTTGCTCCTGCACTTCCCCAGGGTGTGGCTCTATTCACTGTGAACACCTTTTGGAATGGATGTAGCCCCAAAAACCAGACACACTAACTTTCTAGCTGCCTTCATTTTTACCAGTGTTAAGAGGCAGAAGTGCGGCAAGTACCTTCAAGGCACTTTGGGATGTTGCTGAGATGGCTACTGCAGACTGAAGGAATGAGAAAAAGGCCAGCTAGCCTCACTCAGAGTTAATTTAATATAATTAATGATCCACTATGCTGAGGAGTGACTCAGGTGCTGGGGGCAAATTTTTTTAGCAGCTAGGAGAGGTGGGTATAACTAAGAACAGCTACTCCTTTGTACCTCTTTCCCATCACTGGCCATTTTTTCCTTCTGTCAGCTATGGGATACAGCTATGGAGGTTTTTTTCACAGAGTTACAGTTTAGTTTTTCTTCTTTCCTGGGCTGTTCTTTTGTTGGTCATCTTGTTCCTGATAGCTGGACATAATCTGGTTTTAAGTTTGGGTGTGTTTTGCTTTCGTCTTCTTATTCTGGTCTGTGGCATGTGGGTTTAGGGAGTTCCTTTAGCTATCATTAAGCACACTGTATTGAGGAGATTTGTCTGCAAGTTGAATTCTCTAGATATTTTGCCCTTTTCTCCTCTGATACTTAGATCATCTTGTATCTATTTTGGTGAGAAACTGAGCTTGTTTCAGTGCTTTGGAAACAGGTGATAATAAAACCTCTGGTGTGGTGTTGAGAGTGGATGTGATGCATTTCAATGTGATTCTCACAATCTGTAGCAAAAGGAGACTGTTCTGGCTGAAAGAACAGCAAAATTGATTAGTCTCTGTATGTGGATTTTCTTGAAAACCTGATTTTTGTATTCACTGCCACTGTAGTCCCTGCAAGAGCAATGTTGTCAGAGGGGTTTGGATTAATCAGGTGTAGCTAGCTTCTGAAGTGGAACCTTAGGCTTTTCCCCATGTAATACAGTTGGTTTGATTACAGAAATGAAGAACTCAAGTATCAGTCTTGTTGGAAAGAATTAGTCTGTTAGTTTTCTTAGCCATTCTCCTGGTGTTTCTGCACCTTAGCATAAGCTCCCTGTGGTGCTGGTAATCTGGAAGGAGCCCCATCTGCAAAATAATGAGACTAGCCTAAAGTTGAATTTTATTTTTCTCAAGTATTTTGGTACAACGTTGGGTTTCAAGGGGACCTGGAGGCCCATGCCTTTTATCAGATGTCAAAAGGGTCATGTGCCTAAAAGCAAGGTCTGTTTGGCCTAAAGTGCTTATGCTGCCCTGGGGAATCTAAGCTTTAAGTGCTGTTATTGCAAAACTGACACAATGGTAATGTGTGATAACAGCTAAAAACCTTGGGCAGAAGGTTTCTGCGTCTTTCTTGTATAAAGGCCTTGGCTGTAGTTTAAAAAACTTGCACTTATTAGGTCCAGTTTAGAGGAGGAGGAGGGGGGAATTAGATGTATCAATTTTAATCCTAGAATCAGTGATTTTTAGTTCAAAGCCTTTGAAACATGTGTTGACTTCTATTTATGTGTCACTGCCACTGTGCAAAAGCATCTGTGAAGCAAAGATATCCGGTGAGTTGTTTCACAGGAAGGCATCCTGATTTAATGCACTGTGGAATTCACACCCAAGCAAATTCCGAGCCCTGCTTATCCCATGAATGTGTGACGGCACTTTATGGTGTTGGTCTGACCTGACTGCGGTTCTGTTCCCAGCAGTCAGATAAGCTGGCTTTGTTTACCATTTGTAAGACTGGAAGGATGGGGAGAAGGAAAACCTTTCAAAGGGAATGATTTCTGATGTGCAAGGATGGGTTATTTATGAGGTAAGGTTAAATACATGGCTTAGTCTCAGCAGGGTCTTTTGAGTTTTTTTGATAGGGTTGCTGTAAGTACCCTGGTCTGCTTTCCTCTGCAAGCCGAATGCTTGTTCAAAGTCTAAAACAAAAAAACAACAACCAAACATTAAAAAGCCCCATGTTCCTTTCTGAAGGAAGAGATCCCTCTTCTTTTGAAGAGCTAAACTGCTCAGCCGATAAGCATGAGAGCAGGTCCTGCTTGATCCTGCTAACACTCTTGGGTTTCTGATGTGACACCCTTTGCAGAGAGCCTGAGCAAAGCTTGGGGAGTCACCTCTGAGTCACTTAGTTGCGCAGCTGCAGCTGAGCAGGCAGACACCTCATTGGGACAGAGGTCTGAAGTGGGGACGCTGTGTCAGCTCTGCCACGTTCCTACCAAATCAGCACTCATGTGCCTTTCTCTCTGCTGTGTTCCTGACATGACCCCAGAAAGGCTAAAACTTGCTACCACGTGAAATTGGTGAAAATGCTTTCTGAAGCATCTTCCTCATCCTCTGGTTTGTCCTGGCATCCACAGCCCAAAGCAGGGAGTCTATGGCATTTTATGAGTTTGAGAAACAAGACTCGCAGTATGTATGCTCTGTGAAAGGCAGCAGCCACGCCAGGTACTCGGGAGATGTAACTTTTGACAGGTTACACAGACAACTTTCAACATGCAGAACACGAGATATGAAGTAAGCGACGGACAAGCCCACGGGCTGGTCTACTACAGCACCTTCGTGAGATTTATGTTTCTCCCCTTTCAGCAAAAGAGCTTCCCGGCCCATCGCACAGCCTGTACCTGAACCTATCCTCCGGCTGCTGCTCTGGGCATTGACTCCACCAGGACAGCCCAGGAGTGGGGATGTCCAGTAGCAGCGCTGTTGGAGAGGGTGTCAGTCTGTCCAAGGGCTGTTGTTCCAGCACACCACACCCCCACTACCCCCTCCCTCCCACTGTCCCGTCGCGGCGCTGTTCCCGCCCCCCTTTCCCCCAGTGCAACCTTGCCCTCACCCCGGCGCCGGGAGCGGCCGGCCCAGCCCCAGGGCAGCTCCGCCATCGCGTGGTAGGCCCGGCCCGGCCCCGCGGGCGGAGCCGGCCCCGCTGACCGGCGGGCGGGGCCTCGGCGCTCATGTGACTGCGCGGAGCCGCCGCCGTGCTGAGCCCACAGTTGTTGCCGCCGCCCTCGCCATGGTGCCGTCCCCGCTCGCCCTGCTCTTGGCGCTGGGCGCCGCCGCCACTGCCCTGGCCGAGCCCCTCCGCTTCATCGACTGCGGTGAGTGGCTCCGGCCCCGCTTGGCCTCGGGGCAGCGGGAGGCGGCGGCGGGGCGTAGCAGCAGGCGGAGATGGCCCGGTAATCCCGATTTTTCCGTGCAGGTTCCGTAGACGGCAGCATCCAGGAGGTGAACGTGAGCCCTTGCCCCACTCAGCCTTGCCTGCTCCATAAGGGGACATCCTACAGCATCAACGTCACCTTCGCCAGCAGTAAGGATCGTGTCCCCGGCAGGGGTGGGGAGAGGGAGGCGATCCTCTCCATATTCCTCTGCATGGAGGGGACTGTGGAAGGGCGGCTGTAGAGTGGTCTGGGTGGGAGGAAAATTGTCCCTTAGCTGTGTTCTTCCAGCCTCTGGGGTATGTGGAGAGGAGGGTGTGAGGTATACACATAGTCTTCGTGTTTTGCAGAGATCGAGAGCCAGGGCAGCAAAGCAAGGGTGTACGGTGAGATGCTGCACGTGGACATACCCTTTCCTATTCCTGAGCCCGATGGATGCAAGTCCGGGATCCAGTGCCCCATTCAGAAGGGCCATTCCTACAGCTACCTGAATAAACTCCCTGTGAAGAGCGAGTACCCCAGTGTAAGTATGCTGCCATGGTCAGCTACTCAGCTACCACCTTTACTGGGGCACCTGCCTTTAAGGGAAGACACCTTGTTCTGTTCTGGTGAGCGGGAGAAGACTCCTTAGACAATGTAGTGTTATTTCTGCTGTGAGCATGACTCTAGTTTCAAGGTCCCACTCTGGGACAGACCTGGCAGAGGAAGCAGCCTGGCTCCAGCTGCTGAGAAGTGGCTTCAGCTGCTCCAGTATCCTCCTGTACTGTGCTTCCTACCAGTCTGCTGCATGCAGCTGAATGCTCCCAGACTGGTGGTGCTCATCTCTGGAGTGCAGTTCAGCTGGGATGCTGCAGGGTGTTTCCACTGTTTGATTTCTCAGGTAGTGGGGATCTGAGTGCAGTGTGTAGAGGTCTTCTGTGACATGAAGCTGAGCCCTCCATGCACGTATGGTACTCCAGGAATAAGTGCATGGGCATGGCCCACCCACTGCAAGCAAGGGCAATGCCCCAGCTCTGTCCTCTGTGCAGAGCTCCCAGAGCCTCCTTGTTCTACACAAGGGATAACTCTTTTCCCTATGCTCTTGCCTTAAGGTTTTCTGAACATCCTCATTTTACTCTGCTCTTCTCTCTTTCAGATTAAACTGATCGTGAAGTGGGAGCTGGTGGATGACCAGGACCAGATGTTGTTCTGCTGGAAGATACCAGTGCAGATCACCAGCTGAGGAGCCCTGCCATTAGTAGGGCTTAGGGAGGGGAAAAACACAAACAACACAGGCCAAATTCTTTTATATAATAAGCATTTCTTACTGCTTACTTCAGAGCTCTGCAGCCTCTGAGCAGCCAGCATTGCATTCGTCAGCCATGGGCAGAACACTCTTACCACGTTTAGGCGACACCCCTGGGGTGTTCTCACAGCAGCTCAAGGGGCAGCAGTGTCTGCTGCAGGAGCAGGAATGACCGAGCATCATCCTCCAACTGCTCTGTGGAGCTACTTTTATTTGTTTGACATGGAGCTGTCTGTCCTCACAAAGAATTCCTCAGCTGCG